CTCTTTAACTCGTTTTTGTCTTTCCGCATACCGAAAAAATAACGTTCATTAGTGCATAGGCAGAAATGAAATAAGTAATCGAGAAATAGAATGGAATTATTATTTTTATTTTTTTCATATAATATATTTTGGTAAGGCCAATTTAATCCAGGAAACCAGAAGACATTAGTGGACGATACCTGCTGTGTTCACGGGAAGGGTTGAAAAAAATGTATAAGTTAAAACTCACGCGAAACGTACGCACTTAATTTCCGTAAAAGGGTCACGATAATAAGGTGGTGGTGAGTGTTTAAGTTTCTTATACATTTTTTTTCTCGTCTAACACAGTTAATTTTGTAGCCCTTGTCCACGCCCACCGTTGTCATCAACCGCGCGGTCATTAGCATATAAACGAAGCAAAGGCGATACAATATTATTATTAAGTGTCCGGAAAAACTGAGCCTTTTTCCGTATAATAATAACAATATTTCTTTGGGCAAACGACAAGTACTTTGTAATCGTATTCCGGTCACGTATTTTGCGAGGTGAGAAAAAGTGGTTGTTAAAAATTACGCTACTTAAGTTGCCTCTACAAATCGATCGTTTCAAGTATTTTTATTTTGCGTATAAATGTGACGATGGCAAGGTCGGAAAATTCTTAGCTACACGCAAAATGTGAAACAACTACCTATAGTAACGTTGGCTGCGTATCTATATATTACTCGTATAATAAATAATAATATTTTTGTCTGTATAACATTTAGCGTACATTCACGCACATCCTCCCTTTATTTTTTTGCTCCAAAACGGTTTATCTGATATAAATATCCGTGCACATATCATCAAGTACACAGATACCATCAAGACTTCGTCGAAGTAACTTACGTTTGTGTGGGTAATATTATATAAAGTATGTATACACCTATAATACGTAGGTACTCGTTTGTATTGCATCCATAATCTATATGCGCTCGGCTCTCATATTTTATCACTTTATATATTATACGTATATGTATATACTGGTACGCGTTGTGAGAAATATATATTATAATATTTTATATATATATATATATATATATATATATATATATACAAGAGTGAGTTCGGGCAATGTTCCAAGTCCGACGACTGCCGATGTGCAACTCGTCGTACGTATATTGAGTATGAACGTGTGTATGTGTGTGTGTGCGTGCTCGCTCGTGTTTATAAGTTGTAAGTGAGTGTGTGTGTAGAAAGTGTCTCCGAACAGGGTCACTTTAGGTCTAGCTAGCGATGTACGATGATTTACAGCAGAATTTATCGACATTATACACGTTGGGTTAATGAAAAAGTGGACAAAGTTCATTAAGTATGTAGATTCAGTTGAACACTTCGAGGCAATAAATTATTGGTCACGTTTCGAATGGATTAAATCGACTTCTTATATAATATATTTATTTTTTTCTCTTCTTTTTTTCATTTTTCTTTTTTTTACATATCGACGGGATTATTTCTTTGCTTACTCGATATTTTTCTTATTTTTCCAATCTCATGCTCGTTGTATGTATATATATATATATAATATGTGTGCATGTGTATGTGTATGTACAGACTTGTGTACGCGCTGCAGTGTGCACCGCAGCGGCGGTTATAGGACGCGTACACATAGAGAATGTTAACGGAAAACAAGCCGTTTATGGGCACGAACGACATTTATTGGACATAGGCACGCATCGGTAAAAAGAAAAAAAATTATAATAATCCACCCAACCCGCTCACAAACGTATACCGCTTATCTTAACAGATTTTTCCTCTTTTTATCCGTCCAATTTATGTTGCACAAATACGAATGTATAATAGGTACACTTTATCATAATATTATATAACGGTGGGAATAGGTTTATTATTATAGATATTTAGATATGTAGAAACACGTCATTATATAATATATTATATTGACATATAGGTAGATATATAGGTATAATTAATATAATATATCGAATATGCACGGGATAAGTTCGGGAATTAAAGTTAGGTATATGGTGTTGTTCGTGTTGTTTTCAAGGTCATCGCTACTATAATGTTATGATAGTTATCAGTAGTTGAAAGGTCAATCTGGTATAATATGCACTAATGCACTTACAATATTATAATGTTCTATATAATCAGTTATAAATTCTCAGCCACAACTCAGCATTTTTCAATTTAAATCAAATCTTATTAAGGTATAATACAAACTATTAATTGTAATCATTATTATACGTTATAATAAAAATCGCATTCGTTAATATAGTTACTAGTACTTAAGACAAAATAACTATAATAAATGCATACTTTAAGATCGGTAATGCGTTTTAACTAATAGCATAATTAGGGTAACTTGCTTAACAATATATACGTATACACCAATATTAAGGATTGACCACTGAGATTTTACAGCATCATTCGTATAAATACCACAATTATAAACGATTGAAAACCACACGAAAAAAAAAGGTCGGCAAAAGCCAAAACACTACCTACCGTGCGGCCCGCCAACAATAATAATAAAAGGTCTTTTTTCTCCGTTTTAATCCCGTCAAAGGGTTGAAAAGGGACTAAATTCAATTATTTATATTGTAGTCGCTTTCTGCAAACAATTACCGGACTTTTTTTTTTCTCTTCGGAGAACTTTTTATTGGAAAAACAAAATATCCACCGGCAGTTATATTGCCATTTACCTGTCGTCAAAACCGTATTACCGTGTTAATATTATCATTTGATATTATTATTATTTTACTTTGTCCGATTAAACCCATGCGGATTATATAATTACCTATATGCGGTCTATTTCATATAAACGTAATTTTTAAATATTACACGTAGATGATACACCATATACATACACGTAAATTTAATAATCGTAATAAATAATAATACAATCGTAGTTCGTAAACGTATTATAATCTATTTTATAAAGGATGATTCACCAGGCATGCGCACTCCCTCATTTTTCAATAATACAGTTATTTAATACAGAATTTTTAAAGGTATATTTAAATACATTTTACAGTATATTTTTTTTTTTTGATTTATGTAATTTAGATTTAATATTTTTATTATTTAAGGAGAGTTCTGTGGAGATATAAACTCCTTTTTTTAAAATGTGAACCATCTTTTTTATGGTCTTTATAAGTACATATATTTAAAAAATCTAAAATCCAAATTTGAATAAATTCATTACTAAATTTAAAAAAATGGGATGACCATACTTGGTGAATCGCCCTGTATAATAGTGTATAATATTGTATACATGCGTATATAGAGACAGGACCGGACAATAAACAAAAAATACTATTGTCATTAGCCGCTGTTGTGCGTGCGGGCAATCGACAGGATGACGTATATGAATTTCGATATTGTACGCATAATATATTTTATTATTTTGTATTTTTGTGGACCCCAGTGTTTTAAATCATTCTAGCAGAGCCGAATTGTTTTTTTGACCAAAAAACAACGCGGTGCCAGGGACTGTAAATAATATTATAATAATGAAAACACGCAAAAAACCGATGGGAATTGGACAAAAAATAACACCGCCGCGGCGAAAAATATGAACGATGCGATTTATGTGTCCACCCGTTTCGGTACATAAATCTCGTGACATTATATAGATGTATTATACACATACATGTGCCTATATAATATATATACATACATTTTTTGCTCTGTTTTTCCGAAAATCATTCAGGGAAAAATCCACCCAGTCTGCCACCCGTGTGTTTTTTATTACACTGCCCTCAATCACGTTTGTTTTGGCAGCCGTATACGTCATTTTAACGTGATTATATAATACACATCATGTATATATGTATAATAATATACATAGGTAATAACAGTATGTCACTATATACCATATCGTATACGCAGCCTCCCCCAATCATAAAAACAAATAAAAAAAACAGTTCCAAATATATAACTACCTATACGATAAATAAAATTGTTTACATATAGGTAGGAGCATTCCTCATTCACACGCATTAAGTTTATTAGGTATAAGAATAATCATCGGTTGAAACTTGCAACAATATTTTATAAAATATGAGCACTATTATATAGGAAACGAGGATTAATAGTGTTCGTTTTGAGTTTTCCACGGGCCTTTGCAACAGCCTTTGTATGAGAGCGTAGTTTACTATATACAGTAGGTATAGGTACTACGTGGTCTGCACGTTAGGATTTCTATGAATACTCTCTCACGGAAGACGCGCTAAGAAGCATAGTGAACAAAAAAAAAATTAAATAATAATAATAAAAAAAAATTAAATAGGTAAATAAATTAGTGAATCATTTGAAATGCTCGCGTTAAAACAAAAGCGTCCGCGGGGATCGCGTTGCAGGCTGCGAAAAGGGGTTTAGACGAAAGGGGAATTATTATATTTGTTGGCGCAAAAAATGCACATATCCGGGTAAAATTACCATAACGTGTCGGTAAAAATGTAACAAAAGAATATCTAATTGGATACGCGCGGTTCTCAAGGTGCCGCAGTGTGTATCACTCGCGACGGGATATACACGGGAGACGGTAGTGCAGCGCGTATAGGTATAGGTCCACGCATATTGTATAATATATATATATATAATACGCACTGTTAAAAACAAAAAGGGAAAAAAAGATATGAAAAAAAAATAAATAGAATAATATAATAACGACTAGTGAAAAAAAATCAGATGGCATCGTGCTAACGTGTTAAAACAATAGCGGCTCTTCCTTCCGCAAAGGACCACATTTATATAATATTATATCGTTGCACGCACGTACCTATACAGTATACATCGCACTGTATAATGTTTGTCAGTATTTGCATATGAAACGGCTGCGCGTATACGACTGCAGTATAACCGGTTATGATGGCATTTTTTTTACTACTTTTAAGTTTTGTTTTCTTCCGACACGCTATTATTATTATTATTATTATTATTATTGTTATTACTGTTGTACGATGACGGTTGAAACGCGTATTATATTTTCGTTGTTCATGTATTTTGTTTTCGTTTAACAGGAGAACGACCTTACAGATGCCACTTGGCCGAGTGCGGACGAGCTTTCATACAGCTGTCCAATCTGCAGCAACATCTCCGCAACCACGATGCCCAAGTGGAGAGGGCCAAAAACCGGCCGTTCCACTGCACCATCTGCGGCAAAGGTTTCGCCACCGAGTCCAGTCTGCGCACCCACACGGCTAAGGTGAGGAGACGTTGTTTCAATATCGTTATTTATTATTCGGTTCTCTAGTAAGACACACGCGTACGCGCCTGTTTGTGTTTAATTTTGTACCTATAGGCAGTGGCAGTGTGAAATATATACATTATATAATATGATGTTGCTTATACAAATAGCAGGTGTCCAACGCTTATTAATAAAAAATATTATATTATATACAGCGACCGTTCTGTGTGTATTCATATATAGGTATGTGTAGAAATATATTATGGGCACATACGTCTTTCTCGTGTATAGTATAGTATCGTTAAGAAATAACATCATTATATACATACCAAATATTTTGTCAGTTTTAATCGAATTTCCGCTTACCAAATGCTGCGGTAGTCGACCGAATAACAGCACGAATAATGGTGTAGTATGCGGTAGTGGCGTTAGAGGTAGACGACTTTGACCCAGTTATGTAGGTAAAGAGGATTTTCTCCACGGTGATGCGTAGGTTTTATCCCTCCGACCTCGTGTCGGTGATACGACGATATATCGTCGTTGTTGTCATAACCTATGATTTATGACGTCATCACGAATGATGGTGTACAGCATAATTATAGTTGTGTGTGTTTTCGTTTATAAAGAAAAACAGCGACTTGTAGAAAATTCAAATATGATGTATATAAGTAATAAGTATATTGTATACAAATGAAATAACTATAAAAATAAAATAAAAAAATATGTAAATATTATTACACACATCATGTCCTATATATTTGATAGATTAAATAGGTTGAGAAGTTGCTTTTTTACCGCACATATAATGCTGCAAATTCATATAACTCTTATTCTTGCATATATATTATGCACGTATAATGTCCATAAAATATAAGCAGTTACTGGCTAGACGTACGGATTTTTAATCGTTTTGTCACGATAACGACCGCAATAATATTTTCCTCGTTATAGAATTATATTATATTATTATATATGTAATATGTATATAATATTATGCCGTCTTCGTCGTGGTCTCTAAGATTGCATTACACGCAAGCGCGCACCATATTATTATTATTATTATTATATTATTATATGTACTCGACCGGGTGACGAGGGTGTGTGGAGTAGAGGATAGCGCCGCGGCCAATGAAATATAGTGACATCCCGGTGGCTTATTTGAAAAGTTAATGGGAAAAAGCTGGCGAAAAGGGTTTTAATTCTTACGGACATCTTATATTTTTAGTTAATTTTGTTATTTCTTCAAATCTGCCACGTTACGATTTTCACTGCTGTAATTAAAACTGCGAAAAATGGACTTTATTTCCCCTCTCGGCTTCACTTATCCCACCGGTGATACCGTTGCCGCCGAACGTCGTCACGACTCCTGGTGATCAGACTAAGCAAAAACATCATTACTTTTTCTTCTCGGTCTCGACAAAACAGTAAGACCAACAAATACGTGAACTATAAATAATTAAATATTCTCTTGATTCCAAATTATGTTAAGTTAATATTATTTATATCAATAAAAATATGTAAGTAGGTTTTTTTATTATTTTGTTAATGAAACTTAGAATATATGGGCCAACGTGTAAATGTGCAGTAATCGTATTTTTTCGACGTTATTTTTATATTTTATTCGCATGTATAATATAATCTTGTAGGAAATCCAAAAGTATATGCAGTCTAAAAGAAAAAAAGTTTATGCGGTATTATTTGTCGTACGTGTAGTGTACAGAACGTGTGCCAAGTTGCAATAATAATTATTTCAATAGTGCGGTTATTACTACTACGAGCCGTTCGAAAACATTACACATTATGACTTTGTTTAAGAACACGTTTTGCTATAAAAATTCCGTAAACAAAACTCCCAAAAATCATAAAACAAATTAAAATATTTATATTTGTATTTATATGAAGATAAGTTTTGAAAAATGATCAGGTCATAATTTTTAGTAGGTACTTATACGATTAAAATGACATTTCATGTTTTTTTTAACTTTAGATGGGGCACCTTTCATTTACGATCGTTGATTATTATTTATTGTTAATTTATGCCTCAAAGTTTGTATAGTCTAACGAAAGGGTGAAACATTTAACACAGTAGGGTAAAAGTTTTTCTTGTTTCAAAACGTTCCACTTCTTTTTTTATATTTTATTTTTTTGTCGTGTTGAACTAACCAAAGTGTTTATTGCCTTATGCTTTTTTTCATACCATAAAAAGACATATTTGTATATTATTATTGTAGTATATAAATAATATTTTTTTTAAATCAACCGTGTGTCCTTGATTGTGTCTATTCAATAATATTGTGGCAGTGATGCGAAATACTTTTCTGAGAGTATGTATATAAATTGAATTTCTGCATAATATTCGCCAAGTGACCGATCCATAAAAATAGAAACAACCATAAACACATTCTCGGGTCGTTAAACTTGGCGTTGTAATTTCAATGTGTTTTTGTGCAATTATTTTGATTTACCACAAAAGATCCTTCAATATATCTATGCGAACAATCCCAACTAATAAAACATAACTGATTATGCCGTTCCTCAAAATTCATGTGGTTCGGTCAGACCGCACTTGATTCACAGAATTTTTTTTTTTGCATTTCAAATTTATATATATTTTTATGTTCTTTTATCATTGCATTTTCAAATGTTTAATAGGGCGAAAATCCGGTGAAGTGTAACACGAATGTAAATTAGAATGAAAAGGGTTGTGCAAAAATATGACGTAATAAAAAAAAACACCACTATTCGACGATATTCATTAAAAATGTGAAAAGGGTATTAAGAGTATTCGTTATTGACCCTTCTTGTGTTCAGCCTTTTATTAACATACTTCTATGCGTATTATGACCCTTGTGTATATATAAAAAAAAGTACAACAAAAACGCCAAAATAACATGGGAACTAGATAACACAGATATATATTTTTTTACAGCGTAACGTATATATTATACATTCAGAGTTTTTGTAAATCTTATAGACCACGCGACGGATCCCGAGGCACTTATTTATGTAGTGCGTGAGCAGGTGAACCGATTTACATACTACGCACAGGACGATTAATTTTTCGGAAATAGAATAAATTAACACTTGTCGAAAACAAAACGAAAGAATGTTTCTGTTGATTTCTATCGAAACTAAAAAAATAAATTAAGGACTGTTGATTTCTGAGCATACAGGTGGTTTGTTCGGTTTCTTTATTTTATCCAGCGTGGGCGTGTTATTTATTTTTCCAGGCACTTTTTAAAGAAAAAAAACAATTCTTTGTGTACAGTTACATTTTTTTTTTTTGGCCATCAAACAATTATTTTAATTTCTTATGCATCCCACCCGATGTTCGATTTTTTTTTCCTGGTGCATGTACAATTATATGCGATGTACTAGCTCGATGCATCCCGCGTATAGCAGGTGTTGAAACAGTTTGTATATACATGCACACAATATTGAATAATAATGCAAGTGTCGGAGGTAATTGCACGTTGTCTTGTCGTTTGATTGAATGCACTCGCATTCAAATTTCTGTAAGCATAATAATCGTTATTAAGATACAAAAAAAAAAAATAAGTACTTATACGCATGTGCCCTAAATAAATAACATGAATGTTCGGCGTCTCGGTCCTTTTTTTCTATCATTCTTATTTGTTTTTATTATTTCAATTTTCAAGTATACTTACCACTATTATAATAATACCATCATATTTATCAACATTTCATTGATCTGTTTTAAGCTTCATATCGACAGTTCGACATCTGTACTACTACGTTAATGGAAAATCCGTCTACAGACGTTTTTAGTTAGGATTTTCTGTCCTAGTTATTTTACTTTTATTTATTTTTCGCGTTTTGAACGTGTTTTGTTAGATCGCCGGTAGTGCTAGTAATGTACTAATGTCATCGGCGAGTGCATTTCATTATTCGAATTATAACGCGCGTTTATCGCTGCACGCACACTTTTAAATTCTAATTGACACATGCGCGCACACATAATATTATGTAATAATGTAATATTATATATTATATACAACTAATTCATTCATACATGATGATAATAAGAATAATAACCGTTTAATAGTCTCTCCACGGGGCAGTGTATATAATAATAAATAATATAATATGATATATATTAAAGATCGATATCCAGCACGCGCGTTTTCGCTTTTTACTCACTCGTATACGATATATTATACCTATATCTATCCACCGGTACACAGCGCGCACGTTATAATATTTTATTTATTTCTTTCTTTCTTATATTTTTAATGGCAGCAGCTCATTATTTTCTCATCCGGACGTAAAAAGCGGGACCGATCTTCGGACCGTGAACGTCGGCGGTGGCGAAGAGCGGAGCGCGGTATAGATAGGTGACGCGAGCGCGCGGCATACAATATAATATATGTGTGTGTGTGTGTGTTTATATACATTTATGTGTGTATGTGGTCGTATACATGTATGTGTGTGTGTGTGTGTGTGTGTGAGAGAGTGTGTGTGCCTACCTATATAATATTATGGCGAAGCCGCGCGCACATGATATTCTAATAAGAGGCCATAAATTTTGCGGCCGGCAATACACGGCGCGGACGCTCGTGTCGCCGTAGACCACTTTCCGTAAATGGAACGACGACGACGACAACGATGACGGGGAAACGGCGGCGTGTACACGAAAAACCGTGGAAAGTTTAACCGCATTTTTCTCTACAGTTTGCGTATTTACGTGCGTGCGTGCGTGAGTGCGTGCGTGTGCCGCGAACGTTTCGCTGGAGTTGTACAACTGTACAACAGAACATATTATAGCAATAGATATAGGTATAATATCGTATAGATGGCATGGCGCGGAACACGGGACGAAGTACAATAAAAATGTCGTATAGATACATTTTATAATAATATAATATGCGTGTATAATTTACTTACTTATTACAGTATACTTTGGGCTAAGTCCGTGTTAAATGAAATAAAATAAAATAATAAAATAAATATTATATTATTATTACGTGAGTTAAGGCGTCCAGACCATCGGCGTATTGTTTTTTAGCTGTCAATAAAAAAACACAATAGTGACGTCCGTATAATAATTAATGTTTTTATAACATACGCGCGCCCAATAAATTAAATATTATAACGTGCCACACAGCTACTACGCCTAATTATTATAATTTTTATTATAATAATATGCCAACCCGTTTTTCATTTCAAGCAGCCGATAACGCTCATGATTATATACCGAGTGGATTTGCGCACTGGAATTCCATTAATTTTTCCAATTTCATCGTAGTCGTCTCCCCCGTCATATTATTATTATTATATTATAATCCTTTCTTTTGCAAACGCTATTTTCGTACATAATCATTTTTTTAAGTACTTTTTCGTGGAACAAGGATTTATAATCGCATATTTTTCTCCTTCTCACTCATTCTTTCTCTCTGTATATTTGTTTTTCTCTTGTTTTTTTTTAATGTAATATAATTAAATCTATTTTCAATCCAGTCAAAATCGTAACGACTAGATAGTTTGAAAATTGGTCATCTATAAGTGGCGTGATAAGAAAGTACTCAAGTAAATCATGTTACCGCGAAGCGTTCTGTATGTCATTTATTATAAATAATTTAATTCAGTGCGCCACCGTGCAAAACGATAAAACTCATGAAGAAAATATTAGTTTTATGCAATAAAGGTGCATAAATCATTTAGGTACACAAAGTAAAAGTATTTGGCATTAATATAAAGTTTATATTGGAAATGGTAATGGTCACGGTGAATTTAATGTTTAATAATGACATTTTTCGTTCGCTTTTGGTAAATGTGTACTTATGCGATTATAGTTTCTCGTATAAAAAAATACACAACATTAAATATTCAAATGACTCGTCGGTGGTTGGGTTAGTAAACTTTTAAACTAGGTATTATTGAAAAATATAATGAATACTACTATACATACTAGTAAAAAATTATATATATATTAAGTATAGATACAGTGCTGAATTGAACTATTGAAAACTCATTATTGGTTAATTACGCTTTTTCCATTATTTAATTTTTTTTTTAATTTTGTAACACTTATCGGGTTTAATATTGTATAATATTCCATTGTGGGAAAAAAATGCTAATTTAAGAAAACACTATTAGATTACCAGGCTGTATATTCTGTGTACAAGGACTGGATAGTGGATAGCTATATATACTTTGACGAAAGCCGTATACAAATCACGTGCAAAAACCGCTAGTAATTATTAACGGTGTCCCGAGTCCGGGCGGGCGCCTATTCTTTCGACTTTCGAGAACACTCAGACCGATAAATTATACTTTGTTTATAAAATATTTAATAAAAATGTAAATCTCCGCTCCTTGGACGACGCCGCAGACGGACTTTTAATAAAAGTCACCGGGCTGCAAGTAGTCGGAAGGGCTTTTAAAAATTAAAATTACGTTTGTTTTATTGCCATCCCCTTTACTCGTCGCCTACTTCTCCTCCTCCGGTCGAGTACTTTTTGCTTGGACACATCTCCCAAGGCGCCGATATCGTAACATTCTATATAGCCACCGCACACCATTGCCAGCATTCATATACATTGTATAAATGTAGATACTGTGTATATATATAACATAATATACATATATAATAACAGTATAGTTTTGTGCTCGTATGTTTTTTAGTCGCACATAATATCGGAACGGGGTGGAAAAAATTATAACGATTAAATTATTATTGTTGTGCGACAATAAACTCCGGTCGGTAAATTTTAGAGTATATTATAATATACACGAGCGTATAACGATAAATCCGAGCACGCCGTCGACTAAACAGCAGTGCACCATAAATTTGATCTTTCGGAGCGCATATTTTGAGGCGGTGGTGGTCAGGTTTATGCGTGTACGACGTATAAGTATACTCATAATATATTAATATGGCACGTAAAACATAACGGAACCATAATTTTTTTTTCAAAATGGCCATTCAAACACACAACAGACAGTATATTATATTTATATACAAATAAAAATGTGTATTTTGTATTATATCTAGATAGTAGATTAATACCTACGTGTGTCCAAAGGGACCACGTCGGTATTGTGTTTCTTCACGCGAAGCGGAAAGGAAACACGCTGTGCAATGGCGGCGGCTGTGTGTGTATCATAATATATACTATATAATAGTGTCTCCCCCGCCAACAAGTCCCGAACACGCGCGTACTTCCGGGTTCGCTGATTACTGGTTATACCTGACGTATGTTTTATTGTTATTTTCAGGAACATTTTTTTTATTTTCAGGAAGCTGAACTTCGCATGGATGTGCTCCAACAGCACGCCGCCTTGATGGGCGGTGCGAGCACTACGTCTTGTCCGCTGTGTCATAAATTGTTCCTAGGTAGCGAGTCACTGGTCGAACATATGAAAGTCCACCACAACGATCCAACCACCGTGTCGCAGGCCGTCGTACAAAGTGAGTGACATAATAATAATAATAATTGAAGATGAATGATATAATATTTCTGAACCCTAAGGCCAAAGACTCTTTAAATATTCTAAAATGTCTCAAAAAAAAAGACCTCAAAATAAAATATTCGAAAAATATGTGAACAATTTTCACATTAGTATTTTTTTCTCAGGTTACTCGGATATCGGTACTGGTCCGTACATGGCCAAACGTCGAACGGCCAACCATCCCTGCCCTGTGTGTGGTAAACACTACGTGAATGAGGGAAGTCTGCGTAAACATTTGGCTTGCCACCCGGAAACAGCTCAGTACGCCCAGCTCAGGATGTGGCCGTGTTCTGTTTGCCAAGCCGTATTCACCCACGAATCAGGTGAGCCAATGCGTTGTAGTGATAAAACCATTGCGGAAGTGATAGCCATCAAGTCCTGATCAATTCATATTGGTTATGTTCAGCATATATTATTAATATAATCCATTGATCTGTTGAATCCTTCAAGCTTACTGAATTACAAATATAACGTTATTTAATGTTAAAATATTTTTCAAATTCATACTATATTAAAATATATATTTTCGATATTATATCTAGATTTTAATGATAGTTATACGCACACTATATTATAATATATAATTGTACATACTAATGTATATATATATATGTATAGGATAACCTGGATCTCAATGGATTGAATCCGAGTTTAGGATTATAAATCTTTAACTCAAATTCCGGTTTGTCCGAACAAAATAATGACCATCACTAAAACATACTGTGCCATGTTAGCAATATCGCGATGATAACTGATTTACGGCGCGCATGTCGCATAAATCTCGTCATGTTGCCGACTGAGAAAAAATAATCGCATGCGTATAATATACGAAACAAATCAATTTTTTTATACACCGCAATTTATTATTAACTATAGATTTATGCACAGCATCATTGTCGACTGACGTAATCTTAACTTGCGTTTACTTTGTACAGGCCTGCTAACACACATGGAACACATGCGCATGGACCCCAAGCATCAATTTGCTGCGCAGTACGTTCTGAGCAGAGCGGCTGCTGAACGCAGAGAACGAGAAAACTTCCTGGCCGCCGTGACGGCCACTAACAGCATGGGTGGCCCCGCCTCACCCCATTCTGTTCACTCAGATTCATCTTCATCTAACAACGGCGAAGTGGACGGTCCCAGTGGAGCTGGTTCTACAGGTTCAGTTGGCACTGGCACCAATAATTCTGTGGTTGCTGCGGTGGCCGCGGCCGCGGCTGCAGCTGCGGCTGGCGGTAACGTCGTTGTTCCCACGGGTGGCCGGCTATCCGTCTCACCAGCCGACAACCAAATTCCGTTAGTGTTGCATCACAACAACAACAACACGACGACAAACAACAACAATAATAACAATAACAACAATCCTACGGCGATTAAGTTAGCCGAGCTGATGGCCGCTAGAACTGGAGGCATGAGTAAGTACACCTCCTCGGTCCAGCCTAAAGTGTTTGATTTTTTTTTTACGGTTAAAAACATTTTTTGTTTGTCTAACTTACAGTTAGTGGTAATGGAGGTCACCAATACATGAACCAGCAACCTCAGTACAACGCCAATGATCTTCAGAGGGCTGCTGCATTATTTATGAGCCAGCAGCAAGCCCATGCAGCCGTTTCGCAAGTTCAACAACAACAGCAGCAGCAACAACAACAGCAACAGCAGCAGCAGCAACAACAACAGCAGCAACAACAACAGCAGCAACAGCAACAGCAGCAACTTCAGCAAAACCCACCATCGCCGTCACACTCACCGCGATCTGCACCACCAACCCCGGCGTCTGTAGTGCAAGCAGCCGCGGCCAATCTTGCAGCGGCGGCCATGCGTATCACCCAGTCGAATGCCATGCACCAAAACCCATTGGTTACCACTTCCAGGTAAGCTATTATATTGATAATATTAAATTACACGGGGGTGGGGTAGTATAACATATGTCCAGTTGATGTGAGCCGTATAAAAGAGTGTTATATAGAAAGATTTAGGTCAACAAATAAAGAGTTGTATGGATTTTCGATAAAATGAATATAATGTGTATTAATAAGAATGTTAACGTTTTGGTTCTTCAGTGGTTCCGGTTCGAACTCGTCAGTCAACTCGATGCAATCGGCCGTCCAGATGGCCATGAACGCAGCCGTCCGGGCTTCCATGTCATCCATGGTTGACGGCCTCGGTGGTGGACACCACCAGCAGTCCGGTCACCAGTCCATGCTCCACCACCACCAACAGTCCAACCACGAGCAGAGCTCACCGACGTTACGTATGCAAGAGGCCATACTTAGGTCTCAGGCCGAGGCAGCACTCAGGTTAGCCGTATCGCAAGCCGTGGCCGCGTCGTCGGGCCAGCAACAGGTACCCGAACAGAACCGGCAGTCATCGGTGCAACAGCAGAACGCACATCAGACACAGCAGAACGTGGCAATCAACTACAACGCCATGGCGCAAGGGCAACTGATGAACGGACAGAACCCTTACCACCACCAAGGCCAAGTGTCGCCTGATCTATCAGAGGCGCTCAGGCTCCAGGAACAACGGCTCGAACAGGCACTTAGGCTACATGGTGGTGACCCAAGGGCTCTAGGCTTCAGTTTCGGTAACACCCAACAGGGCCATATCAACCCATGAGAGTTCAGTTACTATTAACGGCGAGGTCCTCTAAACCCTTCCCCTCGCCCACCCCTCCAATCCTACCCCTCCATCGCCAGCCACTGACCTACTATTATATTATTATATGCTACTGTCGTCATCCACCAACACCGCCACCACTACCACATACATCTCCTAAAGCTCAACGGCGGACCTGCTGCAGCGCGCGCACATGATTATTTATTATTATTGTAATTACGATATTTATTTATTATTATAACTATACTATTATATTAATTATTAGGCATATACTTTACTTAATATTATTATTACCATAAGAATAATAATTTTATTTTTACCAAAACAATAATTGTCCCACTGAAAGACATGTCGTCATCGTCGAGCGTATCATGAGTACCTACCTACATCGACGACGACTCGTGTCAAGTTTGTAAATAGTTGTACATACTAATTAATATGTAATTTCGATTTTAAAAATTAACTGATTTTTAAAAACGTCGTTTAGCAAATTTTTGTTGTACAGTTATGTATAATATTTGTGGTTTTTTACGTGAGTTGTATAAAAACAAAATACATTTAAATCGATAAATCCAATTTGTACGGATCTCTCAGCGCGAGAGATTCGAATAACGTATAATATAAAGCAACATTTAGGTTCCGAAAATATTATTATTTACTTATAAACATTCAAATAATTTGTACTGTTATAATTTGTATTTATTTTAGTTTTAATTTTCATCCAAGGGGTTTTTGCAATTTTATTTTATTCGGTTTAAATAATTTTTTTTAGTAAAAATTAACTGATTCACTTCGTTTACTTAATTTTAATACAACGATTATTGTCTTGTACTATAATTTCTTCGGAGAGGAACTTGTCTCATGAATTAACCCATTTATATTTTATAGGACTCCCAGAAATATTGTAGGTAGATCATGTAAATGCAAACTACCCCATTAAAAACGTCTTATACGAAAAAATATTTTCGGAGACTTTAGCTTAAGAAATAAACACCGTGTAATAATATTTAGCATGTAAATAAGATGAAAAACATACTCTCACAAATACACTGCATTTTCCTTCCTCAACATTAAATTTCTTATGACAACACGACAGAGCGCGCAATCTTGTACATATATGATAGTGATAATAGTAGAACAGACATTTTATTATATTTATTTACTTGTAAATACAATGAAAACAATTAAAAACAAAATATTTTCTGAATATCCAATCCTGTACATAATAATTTAATAATTAAATGATAAAATGGTAACGAAATGTTACAAAATGTCTAACCCTAGCTCTCTCCCCCGCGTACGGCGCTTACAACCCGTCCGGGTTATACCTCCCATACGTTCATATCACGTGCATAACAATACGAATATTATGTTAACTAAACATAAAAATGATATGCTCACCGTATTTTTGTTGTCCACGTGAAACCAATGCAAAAAGCGGCTGTCGTGTTCTCTTCGTAATTTTTCCGAAATATCGTTTTGTCGACCATTCGTTTGTAATTCCTTTTATATATCATTTTTCCTCGTTCTTATTACACGTGCGCTTTATTCTCACCTCAAGAGTAGGGAGCAGGAGGACAATAATATTAAATTATATAATTTTTATTTGTTTCTATTTACCTATTAATATTATTGTTTTTTTTTACCCGTCAACATGCCAATCAAAACAATCTCGTGCAATAAAATAAAGGAAAAATACAAATTCTATTTTTGTTTAATTCTCTGAGACGAACGAGCTGCGGTATATAATAATATGTACACATAAACACATACACCACATAACACACTATAATATACAAACGATCGTACATAATATATAATGATATTAACCACACATGTTTCTATTATAATCTCAGTACCATTTGACGGATGACACAGACACGAAATACAAACAATAATCAAACTGATCAATAGACAAAAAATACGCGATCCGATTAATCGATCATGTCTCAATCTATCGATGTACGACGAAACTTCTGCAAAAGTTGTTTTAGCGTACCCGATTCCGTGTAAATCGCGTATTTCACACACACACATACAATATAAATAAACAATAGCCCAAATACACGCTATCGCTGTGTATCACAGATACAAACACACATTATGCAAGATTTTCTCGCAGATTTCAATATAATAATATATTCATTTAGCGGATAGGTCCGAATATAATAATATACGCACCGTATTTAATATAATTGTTAATTATACGATATAATATTATTACTGTGCGTATAATACAATAGCCCAAACCGGAAAGTTTCCGGCCACATACACACACACAAGCCATTGCTAGTAGTTCAAAATTTCGGGTCGAATGATACTGAAATGTTATCGAATTTTTGGTTTCACTTTCTCCATAATATTATATCCGTCCCCCGGCCGTCCACAACAACCGTTATTCGCCGCTACGGTAATTTTTATGAACGCGTATCCCACCTTATCGCAAGTTGCAACACTAATTAAGTAGGTACCTACTTACTTTCATACTATTACTGATAGTACTACAAACTCATATAGTTTTCGGGGACGTCCGGCGCGGGACCCGAACGTGCAATGGACCAACAACATAATATATACCCAGACGCAGATTTGTCGAATCTGTATTTTTTTCTTTTAATTATTTATTTATTTTAAAACTGATAATCAGTTATAATCCGTTGGATATTATTTAGTTAATAGGTGTAATACAAATACATAGTTCGTAGGATACTTTTAGTGCCGTTTTAAATAAAATAAATAATACCATAATAATAATCATATAACGATAACAATAATGATACTAATTACAGTTTGAGATAAATAAAACGGTTCAATGGTTATTTTTTAGCTTTTTTTTTTTATTAAGTTTTTCTTTCATCTTGAATATGTTTTTCAGTATATTTTAATATTGATAGTCGAATTCACTACGTTATATTTCTATTATTGTTTGATTGATGACAAATGTAACTGTTCACGTGCAAAGTGATTACCTTTATTATTATTATTATTATTATTATTATTATTATTATTATTATTATTTTATTATTATAATTATTATTTTGTTTGTTGGTTTTTTTTTTACAAAATAATACGTTAAATTTTATAAAACTATTTCGACCTAATTTTTAATGGGTCCCTAGTTTTATCATTATTATTGATTATTTTTCACCCGCTATTTGTACCTACTTTATTATACGTTAACGTTTTATTTTATTTTTTTTATTCAAGACCAGTTGAGTTTCATTTTGCCGTTTTATTTGATCAGCTTTTTAATAATATTGCAATTAACAATTTATAAAGGTAGTTTTATCGTTATAATTTAGTTTCCCGTTTTTTGCTGACTATGTTTATGTTACAATAGTTACAGTACACTACGACTTTTTTCATTATTATTATTATTATTATTATTATTATAACAATAATACATTATTACAGTTTCAATAATATTACACTAATTACATTACATAATAGTTACTGGATTTAGACAGTGTTTTTTTTTTTTAATGAATGAAATATACACTATAAACGTAGTTTGGAATATTTAGTCTTACAATATTTGAATAAGAATAATAATAGTCAACATACATATAATAATACGGTTTTCAGTTTTACACACACACTCATACAGACAGAATGTTTAAGATGTTTCTATTGTTACAAAATACAATTATAGTTTTAAAATTATACAATTGGTTTTTTTTTCTATTGTGTTCCTTTTGGTGTTAAGTTTATGTTATACGCATATATCTGTTCAGTTTTTTTTCGTGTGGTATGTTTTTTTTTATATAATAAGCTACGATTTTAATGCTAAATTATGCGCATCTCCCCCAAAAACTTATTTTTATTATTTGTATTAAGTTGCTCAAAAAAAAAAAAAAATTTAATAAATTGGAACAAAAATGTATTTAAAAAGTATATAATATATTATTATTACCATTGTAAAAATTTTTTGGGAAACAATTGTCTAGATATTCGATGTTAATATTATATATTATAACATTATGATTTTTTATTATTATTATTATTATTATTATTATTATTATTATTATTATTACTATATTATTTTCGGTTCCTTAAAATTATTATATTTTGTCATGAAAATTATTGTCCTGAAGTTTTGAAACACGACTATATTATATATTATACGTTTCGGTTCGATATATTGAACAAAAATAAAAATATAAGTGAAAATAAAAAATGATGTTTGTGTAGTAAAACGATATTTATATTATATATTGTATTAAAAATTTAGTTAATATAAAATATACGTTAAAGTCATTAAAATCTTGAACCTTCCGAGTTGTTCTTTGCCTACATATTATATATGTTTGGTACTAGCTAGTTATTTAATTATATCTAACCTATAATATTATATTATTATCAAGTATACGGAACCTATACTTATATTTATCGGCTTTAGCACACTTATTCCTGGCTGCAGTTTTATTGTTCAGACTATGTATACAGTGCGTTACACGATTTTTCGCATATTTCACGGACTTGGATGAACCGTGAAAACCTACTCGATTATCTTGCTCAAATCGGGAAAACGTAAACACACACGCACTAGTCGGTCATGGCCTTGACCATTTCAGGAAATTTCGGGACTAAATCAGGTCAATTTATCATTATAGTACCTATATATATTGATATCGATTCATCGATTATTTGTATCCACGCGTACGTTTTGCCTCATATAAACGCCTATCTATAGTAGGTATATTATACACCAGAAAATGAGCTAAACGAGACCGAGACGACTGCACACCAAATATATAATACAAATATACAATACCTATATAAATCATACATAAATAGGTACCTCTGTGCATAATTTGTAAATGTTTGAATATTATTGTACACTCGGACATGTTTATGTCGTTGTTTAGTTTTTTCCTGAAGTAGAATAAACGAAAAAAAACGAAGGTTATTATATTATACCAGTCAATTTCCTAGTTCTACAGCAACAAAGCTAATACAGCAGTTTGGTGATTTAAAGTTAAATTTCTATCTAGTTACTG